TTGAGTATCAGAGTGTTCCATCTCATTTCCCTTTGGGGTTGCTGTAGGTGATCTGGAAGTCTGCTTTTGAGACTTATTTACATGTTTTCTCATTTCGACTGGGTCGGGGGGCTGTTAGCACCTGCACGGATTACCTCCTCTGAGCTGGGAGAGGTGGGACAGGGGCTGGGAGCAGCGGTAGGGATGGTGACCAGGAAGCCCCTTCCTCTGGACCAGAAGCAGTGGGACGGCGGCTCAGAAGCCCCTACCTCTGTGCCGGGAGCAGTGGGACTCAGTACCTTGGTCTGGTGGTCTGGTGACCTCTGCGTCTTTGTAGTGTGGAACCAGGTGGCTGCCTGTCTGTAGCGGGGTGATTCGGCGTGTTCGCGAGACTCAGGACCTCGGTAGGGCATGCACAGACCTGCCTGTCTGCAGCGGGCTGATTCGGTGTATTCGCAGCAAGTGGGGACCTCGGCAGGGCGTGGGCAGACCTGCCTGTCTGCAGCAGGGTGATTGGGCGTGTTCTGTGGGACTCAGGACCTCGGTAGGGCGTGCACAGACCTGCCTGTCTGCAGCGGGCTGATTCGGCGACTTCCGCGCGACCTGGGTAAACTTTTTAATTCCATATTGAAGCAATGTTTTCCAAACCCATTGTCACTAAGGTTTTCACCTGTTTGTTTTCTAGGAGTTTTAAAGTTTTGGCTTTCAAATTTAGGCCTGTAACTCATCTTAAGTTAATTGTTATACATGGCTGAGATAAGGATGAAGAACTTTTATGGCCTTCTGCTTGTTCCGTAATCATTTGATGAAAAGATTATCCTTTACCCCATCGAATTACTTTGATATCTTGCCAAAAATTTAGTGACCTGACCATGTTGACAGTTACATTTAGAAAGTGCCCATCCACAGGTCTGGATTTGTATCTGTAACATCAGGAAATACAATGATGTTGCTATAGTTTTCTCTGGGGTTAATAAAGAGGGATATCCCTAAGGAAACATGTATATCTTACTTTATTCAACTATATTTTATTAGAGGGTGGATTTTTTTCTTTTTTTCTTTTTTTTTTTTGGTACCGGGGGTCGAACTCAGGACCTTGCACTTGTGAGGCAGGCACCCAAACCACTGAGCTAAATCCCTAGCCTTGGATTTTTTTCTTAAATGAAAATTTTTTTTTTGGTAGCAGGGATTGAAATCGGGACCTTGCGCTTGTGAGGCAGGTGCCAGAAATGAAAATATTTTATAAAAATATATTTTATAACCCACAAAGCAATGCATGATAAAAGCTTATAGAACAGAAAAGTCCAATACAGAAAATACTGTCACTTTTTTCCATAGAATTCATTTATTCTTTATTAATATATCTTTCGATGCATAATTACCACATTTATTTGAGGGAATTGATATACATATCACAGCTTGATCACTAATTTTTTTATTTTAATGTAATGCAAGTA